GCATATTTCATTTTGTTATCAGATGGCGGTCGTAATTTGCAGTGGGCTCTCTTACTATTAACAATAGCTGTCAGTGAGAAGGTCTGGTATATCTAAGGGGGGAGACATAGTCTTGCATCTTGAACGTTTTTTTTTATTCGAAATAATATTCACAAAGCCTGCCAATTTATGAAAAAATGTATCTTATTTTTATTGTGTTTGACATAAAATATTTAAATGTAATCCATTATTCATGATTTTACGTATTGTAAACAGAAAACATTCTATGTCGCAACCCTTGGATATATCCTTAGATAAAAGAGACCAGAGATATAACATACACTGGTGTTTAACCTGCGCAAATGTTGCCAATTTCTAAAGAAAGGTTAACGGAGTGGGTGAACTGGGCAGGGACTCGAACTCTGTGACAGGGACCGGACTTTGTTTTTTAGCATCATAATGAACTATTAGATTTATTTAAAATATACGTTTAATGGAATTTTGTATTATGAAATAAATTTAACGTGATTTTTTAATATCAAACAGATGCCACGACATTTTATGTAAAAAGAAGACCTTTTATAGAATATTTCGTTAGCTATTATTTACTATGGACTTTTCTGTAAGAGACTACAGTAAAATGTTGAAATAGAATATTGTTAATCGAGTAAGAAATGGTACTCATTGTCTAAGAGTATTATAAAAAAGCATGTGCGCAGGCGAATACTGCAAATCAAACCTTGTGAGTTGAACATTATATTTTTTCTACATAATATTAAAATTTAGTCAAATTGAGAAAATGCTGTTTTGTATTATAACCTCAGAAAAAGATATATTAAAGCTTGTTTCTTTAGGAATATTAATTAATATAGAGGATGCGTCACATAAAACTCTAGAAATGTATATGTCTGAAACCAGATAACATTTTAAAATTTAAACCTATTAAAAGTCATTTGGTCGCTAGGAGTGGGTGATTATCGAAATAAATTATTGATCATTAATAATAATCGATTATTTTCGATCAATCGATTATTTTCAAACAATCTATTTTTGTTCGTATTTCCTTTAAAATAGACCACTTGATTATCTTTAAAAAATAAAAAAAAAATAGATTAATTAAAAAGCCAATTAACCGATAAATCAGTGTTTACAAAAAATAATAAACGAATTATCGTTTATTTTAAATAATCGATTATTTTTAATTTCTATTTTTTTTTCGTATTTCCATTGAAACAGATTATTCGATAATCTTTGAAAAATCTAAAATAATCGATTAATCAAAAATAATGGATTAATTAAAAAGTCGAATAATCGATAAATCGATTTTCAAAAAAAAAAAAGAAGAATTATTTCCTTTAAAATCAATTATTCGATCATTTTTGAAACATCGAAAATAATCGATTATCGGAAAATAACCAATTAATTAAGAAGATTCTACGATAAATGGATTTTCCAAAAAAAAAAAAAACTGAATAATTATTGATTATTTACAAATAATCCTTTTCTTTTTTTATATTCCTTTTAAAACTGATTATTTAATTTTCTTTGAAAAATCGAAAATAATTGATTAATAAAAAGCTGATTTACCGATAAATCAATAATTCTAAAAAATAACCGAAATATCGATTATATAATATAACCGATTATATTCGATCAATCGATTATTTTTATATAATCTATTTTTTGTATTTTAAAACAAATTATTCGAATAACTTTGAAAAATCGAAAATAATCGATTAATTTAAAAAGTCTATTAAACAATAAATCGATATTTCTAAAAAATCGATTATTTTCAATAAATCGAATATTTTAAATAAATCTACTCTTTTTGTAATTCCTTTATAATCGATTATTCCATTATCTAAAAAACAGAAAAAAATTTATTAAAAATGTTCGATTAATCAAAAATAATCTGTTAAAGATAATCGATTAATTATAACGGATAAATCGATTTTCATGAAAACGATAAATCGATTATTTTTGTAACCCCTATCGGTCGCATGCTTTTATCAGAGCATTTAGCTCCAAAATTTAGAGATTCGGATTTATTGATCCTGTTATCTTTGAAACCGCATTCGATTGTATAATAAATATTGCTAGAATTTAGATTTTTTTAGTAAACGAAGATATTTTTCGAGTTGTTTAGGGGTTTATAATGTAACATTTTACTAATAATATGACTAATTTCCGTAACTTTAGTATTTTTTGCTTATACTAGATCATATTGCGCGTTTTACTTTGTTTTAAGATTTAAGATTCAAATGTCACTTCCGATTTAACCGCAAATAAAATAAACCTTGAAATTTTAAGTAGGTGAACCTGTATTTCATCTAATATTCTTGTAAAAATATCTAATAAAGGGCTAAAAACCACTTTTAGTAAATATTCTTATAAAACTACTTTTTAAAAACAAAATTTCGTTAGTAAAAATGCCTATTTACTTCTTATTTAGATTAAATATTTATTGAAACCCCTTAATGCGGATCTGAAGTATTCAGCTCAAAGAATCATGGCGACTTTATAGGGACCGTGCGTGAAATATAGAGGCAGCACTACTGCCGAAGTTAGCCCTCTCTAGTGTTTAATTTTAGAATTAAATGGGGTAAACATTGCAAGTAAATAATAAAGGATATTTTTTTAAATATTAAATATAGTTAAAAATAGATACCGGCCCGTACCAAACAATCGTGTACATGGTCAAAATGACGTAAAATGTGAAACATTATTAAAATCTGGACATGTATATACATTTTAAGCAAAAAGATTTAAATAGTTAAGTGAAAATAAATTGTAAAGTTGTACCTTAAACAAGTGTATCCAATGTAAAAATATCGGTATTTAGTGACACTGAATTTAAAAGTATTACAATAACATTTAAAAAATGTAAATTAATAAAAAATATTGATAATAATAATAAATATTTTTAGCTTTATGTCGAAATGTCATTCGTCCACTGACATTTATGAGATGTCCAATGATACATATTATAGATTGCTCACCCATCTATAAAAAAATTATGAAAAGCGGGTTGCAATGTGCCTTTCCTAGTGCTCACTAAATAGAGCCGTTCTAGCCCAAATGTGTTTTAAAATAAAATTTGAGCATTTTAATCTTAAAAAAAGAAAATAATTAAAGTTTTACTTCAAGACATGTTATTATGTGTTTGGAAAGTTGAGTTTCCATGTAGTTAAATAATATTAAGAGATCTAAACAATTTTTATAACAGATGGATGTAAATAATTTTAGACTACTCTCATTTCAGAAATAATACTACATAAAATACATAATTGCAATATGTAATACAATTTTGAAAAGGTAATGCAAACAACTTTGATATGAGGTATAAACAACTTTGGTAAGAGTTGTAATTGGACAATTATCTATTATTCTGAATAATGTTGGTAATATCACTAAAAAAAATTACAAAAAATGACTGATTTTTAATATTTTAAAGTTTGTTGCATTCTCTTTTGACAGTAATTGCAATGCATTATTTATGATTTGTTTATTTTAATAATAAGAAATATTTAATAAATTGTAAAGAGGGCCATGATATTTTTGTCAAATTGGACATTCTTATTTCATAATAACATTCTACATTAGTTTCAATCAACAGAATAAACCATTAATTATCTGTAAAATTATATTTATATAAAATGTTCATTTAAATATGTAAAAATCCTAATGACAAGAAAACACTAAAGATTCTAATTTCTAAACCGGTTCTGTAAATGATTTCTTTACAACTACGTGTTCAAAATTGATACAAGCTAGATAAAAAGAAAACTTTGCCCAGTGAAATACGCTTTTCGTCGTCTGATTTACATATGGATAAGCAATCTTTGTAATTATGTATATCATTGGGTGTGAGACATTAATTGTGCTCTGTGGAAATTTATAAAATTTCTTTACTATCGAATGAAATCCAGGTTTCCAAAGTGATGTGTTTGTACATCCACGGATGCAACAAGTTTTTTCGATAATGATATTACGAAAATAATTCGACTTTATTTAATTAATCATTATTAAACAATAAATGCCGTATAAAACATTAATAAATACCCCCCATAAAGTTCACATTTTTGTCACCAGTTAGCGTTAAAGTCATGTCAAAACGTCAACAAATATTTACCGCTGAAAACGAATATATTTCTTATTTTTCATAACATTGACACATATTATTTGTATATACAATTTTTCACCATACATCGTGGCATTTTCAACTTGAAATTGAATAACTAAAACACTTTAAATTGCTAATAACACCAACAAATAATTCAAAAACGGCGGTCCATAAATGATTTACTCACGCGGAGACAAGCAAAGAATAGAAATTTCGGAGCAATTTGGGTGGCGTCGTGAACACAATGATTTTTAATTGGTGGGTTACTTAGGTTTGGAATAGACAACATGCGCAATGTGCAATGTTACATCTCCGGTCTCTTTTATCTAAGGATATATCAAATCTTCCCACTGACAGTTCATTTGTTTGGAATGCCTAATACAATTATGACAACCGCCTATATTCAAACAGCAGTCTTCTGCGCATCCTGAATTTGTATCCCTGGAGTGGATGTTATTTTGGAACATCCAATTGGTCCGAGTGAGCGAACTGATTCTTAGCTATAAAAGTACGTGAATTGTTTTGATGTATTATTGTTGGTAGCGGTAATATACAATGGTAATATGGTTAAAATCACGATAAAATTAAAAAAATTTCTGCATAAAAAATTTGTAAATGAAAGAAAAAGAAATATATTTTGTGTGGAGACTCTAATGGGAATATATTCTATTTCCTTATAGGCGATTTTTTATGACTTTTTAACATGTCAAATTTTTACAATTTCGTTTTTTTCCGTTTTCTTATTTTTTCCACTTTTCAATATATTCAGAAAATAGTTCAATACTATTGGAATATTATAAAAGCAAATTCGCATAGATTTATTGCCTAGAAAGCCCGTCTTGCATGTATAAAAATTATTTGCTAATATATTTGCTAACGCCGCTTTTGTCATTTATAGAGGATTCTTCCAAAAGACACCAAAAGCTATTCGACAAGAAAATCTCAAGGAAATCTACATGTTTGATTGTGATTGCAAAGCTTGCACCAATAACTGGCCGACTAGCATGTACTTGCCACATGGGAAAGAGCTTCCTCCATCATTTATAAAGAAAGTTACTGAAAACGTTTCCATTGGAAGTGATTCGAACCAGCAATTGGACAACGAAATTTTAAGGGACTGCAAAAGATTGTATTATCAGTTAAAAAAGTATGAACCTTGTCGTTATTTATTGGTAGTGCAACAAGAGCTAACTCTTATTTATCTTCATCAGGCTGGTAGGGACGTAAACTTTTAAATTTAATTATTCAGAATATTGACTGAAAAAACCAGTCAATTTTAAATCGTAAGATATCTCAAGTTTTTCGTCTAAAATTAGGTTATTGACTTTAATTTTAAAAAGAGAAAGATTTTTTAAAAATCCACACTTTACCAGATTTTTTATTATATTTGAATTAAAAAGAACTTTGATATTAGGTATAAATCATTTTGATTCTACACGAAAATATTTTTAAAGTGATACTTTGCTTTTAAATTCAAAATTAAGATTATTTTATTAATAATAATACCTATATATCTCAATTCATATCATCTCTGAGCAAATTAGGATTATTGTATAAAAGCATCTTACTAAATTTGTGTTAGGTACATATAATTTTTTTGTTTTTGAAAGCCAGGAACGTCTCCGCAATAATGCATTTAAGAGGGAAACGGCCATTATGCACCGCTAGAAATAAAAAAGCATGACATGTTTTGAGCTTCGGCCTTACTCCTTGAATGTATTAATGTCGGAGACTTCATCTATTGTTATAATTCGTTATTAATGTTAACAAAAACGTATTATTTTTTATTTTTACATAGCCGTTGCTATTATTTTACTGTATTTTTTAAAAGTTAACTGTTTTTCATTTTTGATATAGATACTATAGTTTATGTGTTACCAATAGGTTAAAATTGCTTTTTTTAAACTTTATATTAAAAAAAAGGTTATTGTCGGATTTCTTTGTTTTAAAACAAAAGTTCAATAAAACTGTTTTTTAATTATTTGTTTAATTTGACCATCGAGATAGAATGAAATAGAGATGATATAAATGCTGTTTTGCGATATGACAGATGGACGTTCTTCCAGTGACGGAAAAGTAATCAAAATGGCGACTTAGTCGTATTTTGATTTTACTGCAAAAATAGCCTTATCTAAACAGTTTAAATATTTTATTTGGTACAGTAATCCGTGTAACAATTTCAGTTAAATGGAAATTTCTGAAAAGCGCCAGCTGTCCCAAGTTGAATGTTTAACTGATCCAGGTAAATTGAATTTGTTCATTGCTATTTAGATGAACAATACGAGTACATCTAGTTAAAAAATTAACTGAACTGTGTAAATATTTTTTAAAAAAAGGTTGTTATACAAATTCTAAGTGTGTCTTGAATGAAATTTTTAACAAAAAACAAACCAGCTATCTTTTGCATCTGTTATAAAATAATTTATGAATTTTAATGATTTTTAAAATAAAATAAACATGAAAAAAATAGTTATTATACAAGGGAAAAACGTTTGTGCGCAACTGCGATTTGTAACATATATCCCTGGACAAGACATCACCGCGAACAACTTGTGTACCAAAATTACTATCATACACTTTACTGCAAATAAAAAGTGAGACAAAAAACTTTAGATTCTAAATATAATTTTTAGAATGGATATCAGAAAGATTCCATTGTAAAAATTATAATTTTTAATTATTGTTTAATTTTTTATAAGTTCGAACATTAAATTTTTATAATTTATTGGAACAGTAGGCATAATTAAAAATTCGAATCAACCATTTCTCTTTGGTCCGTTCCTTTTTTCTCTTCATTAACGCAATTTTTGCATCACTTTTACTAGCTAAGCATTTCCTGACAAATTGTCCACGTTAAGGTTTGCCGATCGGCAACTTATACATTGCGTTCGGTCTGCCAAGTTCCTTTAACTCCTTTAACACTTTTAACTCCAAACGACCCTTTTAGCGTTCGGTTTAGTCCGATTATACTCTGTTTTTAAACTAGGAGGAGCGATTTGAGTTTAAGTTGGCAATTCTGTAGATTTCTGATTGGTCAGATTGCAGTCAGTTTCACACATCACTTTTTAGCATTAACATCAGCTATACTTCTACAAACGTCAAAAATATTATTCTAAAATAAGAAACATGCTTAGCTTAATATGAAAAATAGTATTGAACTGGCTTAAACTGTTTTTCCAAATCAAGTAAGCCTTAATTATTGTTATACATTAATAAATAAATGATTTCTTGGATTTTTGCTTGATTGAGGAACATAAAGGTTAAGATATAAAAATCCCATATAGTTTACATGCAGTGTGCGAAGTAAGTATTTCGCACATTACTTCGCGCACGGTGTCATGGTAACGAAGGAAAATAAAAAAGGTCACTTCGCATATTGTTGTCAATGCGCGAACCTAGTTTGTAGAAAAAAATTATTTAATTTATCAAAAATAGTACATCAATAGTGTTATGTAATATTTTATAAAAAATGTAACACTGGAAACTACCCTTCTATTTTCGAAAGAAGCAGAGATTCTTCAATACTTCGAATGGGATACACCTTATCTATTTTAAAAGAAAGGTACTTGAGAGATCGCCGCTGAACATTTTCCAATGATCTTTTATGAATATTGTAAATAAGGTTCCAGATAAGAGAAGCATATTCTAGCCTGGAACGAACTAAACAAAAGTAAAGGATCTCCAAGCTTTAAGAGCGCTTTCACACGAAGATACTGTATACGAGATACGCGTATCCGAGATTCAGGCTGACCATACATTCAAATGGACCTATTCACACGGTACGGGCGACGCATACAGTATTGCGATACGGAATTTCTGTATCCCGGCACTTTCAGCCGCGGACGCAGAATGCGTATGTCGCATACAGAATTACTATTACGATATATGGACCTTTTCAGACATGGATACTTTTGCAACGGAGATTATATCATAGGCGCAGGATTTTTCAATGGTAGGTAGGTATCCTGAGTGCATTTAGTTTGATAGTTTAATTTATTTGAGAAAGGATTAAATTAGCTGCACGAAGAGTTTTTTTTTTAATTATTTCACGAATAAAAAATTATCCTAAACTACGGAATTTTTATATTCCTAGTAGTAATGTACTCTACAGATGCATTTGCGTGTGGAACTCGTACATTTTTCTTGATAAAACAACATGAATTGGTTCCAAATTGATTTATGAGTTTTGACTGTATTAATTGGAATATTATTTCATCACCTACCGTATCTATATTGAAAATATCACAGGTATTACTTTTTCTTAATATACAGTGTTACACATAAAGTGCGCATCGTATGGGATTTTTCTTTCTAAATGATATGTAGATACATTTTGACATGATAACCAATAACATTCAAATGGAAAATCACGTGACTTTTGTAAATGTCAAAATTGACTTTTTGTAAAAAAAAGCAAAAACTTATGCCTAAAAGTTACTTATTTTTTACCCATATATTAATTTTCAACTTTTTTTTTATTTTTTCTACCAATTCATTTTAAGGTTACTAGAATTTACGCTAACCTGCATACATTAATCTGTTTACGCGATGCGCTTCTTTTAAAAGTTTTTTTGTTAAAAAATATTTTATACAACTAAACTCCAGTAACCCAAAACTGAATTGGTAGAAAATAAAAACTGGACACGGGCTATATATGGGCAAAAAATTAAAAAATAAGCAACTTTTTGTTAAACAATTTTTCGAAATTGCCAGTTGTGCAATTTTTAGGAAAAAATGTCATTTTAGACATTCAAAAAGGTTACGTGTATGTTCATTTGCATGTCGTTCGTTATCATTTTTAAGGCAATAGAAGATGGCAAAGTCAAAATTTATCTACAGCATTTACAAAGAAAAGCCTATACGATGTGCATTTTATGTGGGTCACTGTATTATATACTTCAGTGTAAAGCACTTTTCTAGATCCTTAATTTAAACCTAGGCACGCCACTGTGACCATTTTAGTACTGATTGTAGAGATGCGTGAATTCGATACAGCAGCCCAACTTTTCGACTTCGATTCTGTATCTCGGATACGCGTATCAGGCATACAGTACATAGATATATAACCAAGACAGATAGGATTATTTACAAAATTATTGAAGAATGAACGGTGGTGTCCGCGGTAGAAACTCAATAATCGGATTGAACATTGATGCCAAGTTTACGTGCTTTTAACTATATATATATATATATATATATATATATATATATATATATAACCAATACAGATTACACAATTTCTGAAGTCAACGCGGATGATCCTCGACAGAAATGCAATATTTGGATAAAATTAAAATATTGATGCCAAGTTTGCGATGTTTTTAACTGTAGTAATGTTATTGCGTTTGCTTGAATTACTGTTAGGTCTTTAAATTGCCCAAAAAAAATCATGTCTGACAACAGCGGAAGTTGAGTAGACCGCAATTGTGGAGGGTCGTATATTGTTTCATTCATAAAAATTCCTTCGATACAGTACTAGTCCAGGAGCCAGTGAATTTTTTCGTACTTGTTTTCCCGGTCCGTGTATATTTAAATAATCTATTCCCGGTGAACTGTATATTTAAAATGGAACGCCAATATATTAACAAAAGTAAGCCAGATTGAATTCGCGCATTACGTCACATCGATACAAGTGAGATTGTTTACAAGTGTCTTTGTAGGCCTATTTTGCCCATTTCATGTATTTGTTTTTAAATCATGTTAAATTACTATTTTTGAAACTCAACAAGGAGAAAATCCAATTAACTCTTCCGTTGTGTATATATATATAAGATAAATTAACTGAAGTTTTATTAGTAAAGTATTAATACTAAAATTTTAATGTAATTTACAGAAAATAGCTAGGTATGTATTTGTTTTTAAATAATTTGATAATTTATTAAAAAAGGGAGTAAAAGTGGAATGACCAGTGGCCAGTAGGTCAGTCAATACAAAGTATCAAATATTTCTATTATAACATAACTAAAATACCTACATCTTTTAATCATAAGGACATAAGTTAAAAACCATTTTAATATATGCATTAGAATGAAGTAATAATAACTTAAAGAGACGAGGTCTTAAAGTAATAGCTGGTACAGCATGTTTTTTAAACGTTTCCTCATTGCTGCTAGAATGAAATCACTATGAAATGTGCTCTAAAAACGGCATTTATAGCAGTCAGTGTTCAGTCTTAGGATCTCTTCCTAAAGCCCTCATCCAAGCTGCATACATATTAAAAAATAATTTAAAAAAAACATATATACCTATATAGTTTTCGGTTCTGGGTGCCCTAAAAGAGGACACTTAGCCGACAATTTGGCTCAGATAGCTAAAACCCAAAAGACACCCCGAACCAGGACGTATTGCTATTCTTTTAAGTAAAAAATAACTACAAATAACTTACCTGAAAAATGAAGGCGTCTAACTTTACACCAAAAAAACCATACACTTTTTCCCATTGTTGCAAGCACCCGATGACGATTAGGTAGATATCAACTAGAAGCATGTACTTAATGGTTATAAAGCTTATTTTAACACAAAAAGAATAAAGCACTAGTCGAAAAGCAGCAATCAAATATAAATAGACCACAATATTAAAATTCAAATTAAAAACTATAGAGGTTTGTTCCAACAACGATCTTGGAACAATACATAAACCAGTCCAAAACTTATTGTTGACAATCTGTCGATGACTAGTGACAACTTGTCAGGTACTGGTCGGGGATTGGGACTCAACTCGGAACTCGATTATGTTGGAACACATTTTTTAAATTCAACAGACGCATTATTACAATAATAAACCACAAAATAAAATAAATGATCATGAACAAAAACTATGAAGACTATAAGCTCGATTAACAAATACAAATCAGAACTGTCAGAGACAATAGATACAAATAATATAATAGACCTATCTCCTTTTTGATGGTCTTTATTACTCATGCGCGAATCT